TTTCGCATTTATACCTTTTTCATTTTTGCCAAAAGATTAGGAAAAGCGTCGAAAAGTGCTACTTATGTCTGGCTTAAACTCTGCAGATGAAATAAATTTTCAGATATTTTTACTCATTTTTCGTCGAAGCAATTGGAGAAGGAAAATAAGTTAAACTGTTTATTGATTTTTTTTATCCATTGGACATACTATTATCCAGTTTACGGTAGCACTGCAAATGTTGCTTACAATTTTGAAAAGAGTCAGAAGTTAATGTAAAACGAAGTACGATTGAAAGTAATAAAAACAAGATGAACAAGAAAAGGAGAAAAACATTTCTATGTAATTCTGCAAATGCAGTCCTCTGAGAAAAAATATTTTTCCATTGTTTTACAGTTAATTGATTTTTTTAGGCATATGAACAAGACCTTATATCGCGGAATGCAGAAAATTTTGAGTCTTTTTTCTGAGAATAAGGAATATAGATATAGATATACACACAGAATGCTACGTAGGCGAAAAGTCAACAACATGGCGTGGTTCCTATCAACATCAATCTGACCAGAAAGACAATAGTAAGATAACTTTTTGTACCATTCATCTTTGATGAATTCAGCAGTGCAATTCGTTGCCTAAAGCAAACTAGCCAGAAGATCTTGTCAGAGTTGTCGGTATACCGTGCCAACCTTAACACGTTGACGACGAGCCATTTTTTGAAGGTTTGTCCCTGTGGACGAACCGTTTCCGGGCATTTTCACAGCCGGCTGCATATATATATATGCATGCATCTATGCGTGATGGGGGAAGCTCCGCCCACTTTTGGCAAGCCCCGACCATTTTTCAAAAATGCTGGAAATCGCTTAAAATCAATGAATTCGTGCAAATTCCGGCATTTTTGAAAAGTGGGCGGAGCTTGCCAATCAGGGGGCGGAGTTTGCCTGACGGTGGGCGGGGCCCGTATAAAAGTTACTTGAAGTCTCGTTCATCTACGGCCTCATCCATGCTTTTTATGAACAAAAAGGGTCCCTGTGAGGAGTATAGAAGTGGGCGGAGTTTGCCAAAAAGGGGCGGGGCTAATACATGAGATACATCTGAGCCTATGTGGAGCCTATGTGGAGCTGGAGAATTCATATTGGTGAGACTGGACGGCCTCTTTGCTGCAGCATAAAGGAAGCCTATGTGGAGCATATGTGTCATATGGAGAATTCATATTGGTGAGACTGGACGGCCTCTTTGCTGCAGCATAAAGGAACATCTAAACGGGCTGCAAAATTTGAGGAAAACCACAACTCTAGGTTCGCACGGCACGCGCCATGACGGTACGGTATTTCAAGTTGGAGTGAAGATCCTATCCTTTGAGCCTGAGACCCTTGAACCCATATTAGAAGCCTTTTGGATCTTTACAAAAAATCAAAAAATGAAAAATCTGAGACTTCTGTTGACGATTGAGAGAAAAGATTGCTGACTTTGGCCATCCAGGTTCTGGCGAAGGCGAAGCAGCCGAAAAGTCGGCCAATAAAAAGTTTATAACAATCTTGTCTCTTCGCTAAATACTATAACAAACGGACTACATATAATCTTCTGAATACTCTGAATTTTGACACTTCTATCAAAATGTTCTAAAATGTTTATGCTATATGCAATTTCAAAGAATGAATGGGAAAGGTGGGCGAACAGGAATTTTCAAAATAAACAATGCTTGAAAGCTGTAAAAACTGTCCATTGTTACGAACTTGAGTCATTGAGCTAAAAAGCGGCCATTCACAAATGATTTTGAAAGTTCAAGGTTAGTTGAAAAAGGCGTAATTATACGCAAATCTCGAGTCGTTTAGTCAATCACATTCGACTCCACTTCTCGCACGCTTGCCTCCATTCGAAATTTTACCTCTGCATGAAATTTAGCAAAATTGGCCTCAGTAAATTCAAATTTTTCAGACTAAAATTTATTTTAGCGCAAGCATTTGCAGATTCAAATTATGGTGCAATTGCACCATTCAACGCATCCTATTCGTAGCACTCTTTGCTTCAGGTTAGGCTTTCTTTTTAAGACCATATAAGCAACCGCCAATAACTTCGATTTAACGAGATTAGCAGCTGGAAGGCGACCGCTCGCGCCTGCGACGCATTCTGCGTCTCTCTTGGAAAGTGCTCTCTGATTGTTCCCTGGCCTTAATCAGGTCACGAAGCCCCGCCTTGCAGCTGCAAATCCATTTGAATCAAGGGGTACCTATCAATCACAATACCAGTCTAACTGGATATACTATTTATGCCGCCGTAACTGGCACCGAAGGCCAACATCTGTGCACTGAGCAACGATCACTCAAAAGAATTTCATGAGCTTGTTTGCTACCGCTACCCGTCATGGATTATTCAAGGTCATGTCCGGAAAATAACGCACCAGGATTTTCATAAATACGGAAACTTATCGGGAAGTCTTGACTAAGCCTTTGGCCAAGTGGCAACTCTTATGAGTCATTCGTGGCCGAAAAATTCAGCTTTGGCCCTTTTGAGCGTATCGATCAGTGTTCTGAATACGGTAGTGGGCAAGCATTGTTGAATTCCCACACTATGCAAATCTTCTGTAGCAAAGGCCTCTCCATCAGTATCCACACTTGATAACACAGATATCTACCTAAGAATGTCCGCAAGGGCCCATATACTCTCAAATATTTTTTGTCAAGTCTGGTTGTAGTGCAAACTTTACTGCAACTTTTGCTTATATTCACTGCCTGCAAATAACTTTGAAAAAAAAAAGAGAAGACAAAGATGCTAAAGATTTTGTCGCACATAAGGTTTTGAAAACCCTCCGCTATCGAACTATAATATTGGGTTGGAACATAATTCTTCTTTCACCAAAATTTTTCACAAATCGTAATCTCCTCCAGACAATAAATCAGTGTAAAGTAATGTAATTCAGGAAGAGAAAACTCGATGTTTTTAAAAATTCTTCTCGATTTTGCGATCTACGCTCTTTTTAAACTGAAATGAGTTTGTACTGATAGGACGTCTCTACAAGAAATTGTAATTTTAGATCTCAAATTTCGAGTTCGATATTGTTCGGAATTATTTCTTTGATGTATAGATAAAATACTGCTTATCCCATATAAGATGAAAAAATACTCTACAGATCAAAACGCTGCTTTAAACATTTTTGAATGGTTTTTTTACAATTTTGATTGCGAGACGAGAGAGAGTTCTAATTTATTAGATTTTTAAAAGACGCAGGAAAATTATCACTTTTGCGAAACAAGCAGTTCAATTATTTGAATCTGAGCTCTAGTGTTTTCAGATCAGGGCTCCACGAGCTGAGACCAGAAAATTTTCAAAACGCAGTTCCCTTTGATCTTGAAAATTTCGTATGAAGCCCCCCTCTGACCCTAAACCCTAAAGGTGAAAAAATCCCTAATACACGAAACGTCGACTAGAAAAAAGTTGCTGTTTTTGTGTCTTTCGTCCACAAAAACAATATCCCCTTTGCTTTTTGTCTCAGAAACGATATTCAGCTTGATCCGGTGCCAACTGTGAAGAGCCCTGAATTTTGGATAGTTTGCCACTCTACTTTTCTCCTCAGAATCTACTCTATAATCTGATTTATACTGAAAAATTTGATTTTGCTCAGCTAATCGTCACATTATGGTTCATTCATTACGTCAAAACATTGGAGAAAGTTTGATGGCTTTACTTCTTGAACTCTTTTTTTGGACTATGGCCTCTTTGCTCTCAGCTTCTTTCGCTGAACTCACTTCCTCAAAAAATTTGTTTTCAGTTGAGATTAAGTGATATTCAAGAAATTTCTCTTATTTCCTGTATATCAAACGCAGTATTCGACACTGGTACTTATAATTCGATACCTAGTCTCAGCCTTGAGCGCGATACATAATGCAATACTGCCAATTTTATAAAATTGAGTTCTAGTCCAACGCATTACAGTTCAAAAATATTCTTGTATAAAGGCAAATCTTGCTCTATCGGTTAAGTTAAGCGGCTCTCCACCATTCTTGGCATACGCTATCATGTTTCAGCAACGTGTATGAAACAGATTTGCCATATTTTTGTAATCGATATTACGCCTTCAAAAACAGACTCCACGTTAACACATTCCCGACAATACGACTCACCGGTGGGTCGTACGTGTTTGCCATTTCGGACAACACGACCCACCGATGGGTCGTACGTGTCCTGCCATTTCGGAATTATGACCCAACGGTGGGTCGTATGTATGTTTTTTCTAGTTTTTGATTCGCTAGTTTACGATCGAACTTTTTGCGCATACTGAATAAAATTCTGTATTTTCTCGAAATACTTTGTAAAAGATTGACACTTCAGATCATAACACCCCTCAGTGGCCAAAAAATTTTACGCAATAAATATACGTGCCCTGGTCTAAAATTGGCAGTCATCAAAAAGTCGTCCTCGTCGTGGATGTGTTAACGTACATCTCTTACAAACGTGTTCAGCACAGTTTAACATTAAACTCTTACCCAGTATCGTACTCGAGGATCGCTGGTTGGTCCGCTCGCAAATCGATACGGTAGGGCCGAGAATTTGGTTGTGGATTTCTCGGCACAGATGCATTATAAGAGTTGCTATCAGTTTACTCTGAGTATTGAATAAAAATGAAAATAATATCGAGAAGAAATTAGAATGAAAGTTTAACACTGTAATTTCTTAGGCTGCGTCCAAAGTTGCTCATGTCAGCATCATGCTAGCCATGCGCCGGAGTCGGTCAATACGCATGGTTTCCAACATGGCGGCGGCACGGCTCTGGCACAGCGTGGCATAAGGGCAACTCTGAACGCAGCTTACAAAATCTAACTCCGAAATGTGATTATGCTCAATAATAATTGTGAATCTAAAAACGAAAATGCTTGCCTGTAGTTTTATCTAAAAATTATGACAGATTGATTATAAATCGTAAGCTTTTCCGAATTCATACGTAAGTCAGAAATAGTATTCATAAATCATTTGAGCAGAAATGCAGGTTTTATGCCTTGAGCTACAAAATTTTTTATTATTTACAGGCAAATGGCTTCGGGCACTGCGGCGATTGCAAATGGCAAGAACAATTCGGCAGATACACTGGACAGGACTACTGATCAGTCAAGCAACAAGTAAGCTAGATTTCTAAAACTACAAATGGATTTGAGGGACACTTGGTGCAAATGCGGAAGACCTGCTTGAACGGAAAAAACGGTGGTAGCCGGTCGCAGAAAGTGTTAGAAACTTCAAAATCTACCGTGATATGTGCATTTGCAAATTATATTCGGTTTGCAGCTTAGGCCCCTGCCAGAGTGCCGCAGCCACGTCAGCGCTACGCCGGCGCCGAGCCAGCGTTTCGATCGATACACGTGTATTTCGTTGGGGCGGGGCTAGCTGACCTAGTTCTCAGCCAGGGCCCCGCCCCAATGGAATACACGTGTATCGATCGAAACGCTGGCTCGGCGCCGGTGTAGCGCTGGCGTGGCTTCGGACTTTGGCGGGGGCCTCAGAAACTTTAGAAAAGTGTGAGATTCAGGAATACCAACTCTTCTCAAAATTAATTTTCGTTGTCGGGTAATTTTCTAATGGCTGGAAATTAAAGGATTTTTTTTGATCAATGCTTTTCTACCTAGAAATTCGAGAAGGAAAAGTTGAGTCTAATATGTGTGATATTAAAGTAAATGTATTCCCATACCTACCTTATAACTTTTTACCCACTCTTGTTGCAGGGGGAGTTACTGTAATCTTGGCATTACTCCAAACTGCTCATGCATCCCGATGTAGCCGATAAAGCGCGCTTAAGCCGTGAGACCACAGAAACCGATTTTTTTTAGATTTTTGTGGTTTTGGGTCACGGATTCTTTGCCTTATATTCTGAAGAATCCTTTTATCTTTTTTCATGTTTTTTGACAGAAAACAAAACTTTATTAAAATCTGCATTTTCAGATTTCCTGATGAAGACGTTGAAGCCCGTATACCACTTACTCTTACTCATAAAAATAGTATGCGAGATACAACACCAGTGAGTTTCAAGCAAAAGTTCATTACCTTCTTCATTTAGAGCCTATTTATGTGCCAAAAATTTTTTTTGTTAAGGATTCAATCCTGCGGCTAAACATAGGCGGAAGCAGCTATAGGATTCGGACGAAGTCAATTACAAAGTTTGGGCCGAAGACGCTGTTAGGTAAATTTTTCGAATTTCTGGTTTCTCCTACTTTCTCAAGTCTAGAATCAACTGATTCTAGAGCAGCAAGGATAATTGGATAATTTCCAGATGTTTGAAAAGACGTAAAATTTTAGAAAGTTAATTTTGCAGGTCGATTTGTTCGAATGAACCACGAGCATCGAAGACAATGGGCAGATTGGTACTTTGAAGACCAACAAGAGTATTTTTTCGAAAGGGTTCCGAGGTAAACAACAAAATTCTTGGAAATCAAATTCTCTTTCATTTAAAGTACACAACTACACTCACAAGTATCTTATAGAAAATAGAAATAACTAAGAAAGGAAATTTGGAATTTTAAGTTTGAACATAGAAAAAGTCAGAAAAATGTGGTTAGAATAAACTTACTATAATAATTATTGTCGATTTCAGATATTTTGATCCGATCTATGATTTTTACGCTACGGGGAAACTTCATGTGCCTAAGGTAAGTGAATTAACGCTCTGCTAGTGATTAAACAAGACATCCAATCAATAAATCAAAAAATCAAAATTTTTCCAAAATTACATCTTCTGCAGTTTTTTGTGATATATTTTGATACAAATTCCAGTAAATTCCTCCGCTTACCATCTCTCAAAATCTTTTTAGGATCTTTGCTTTGACAAATTTATGGCTGAACTACGATTCTGGGCTGTCAGTAAATCACGCATGGATGAATGTTGTTCACCTTTCACACAATACTGCGTAAATTACGACAAACGTGGTTCGGTAAGTGGCTCTGGTAGTTTCTATATTGTCCATATAGGAGTTTTTGAGTATTCAAATAAAACCCCAAAATTTTTTCAAAATTTTTTGTAGGACGAAGAACCCAAATTAGAAGAAGTAAGTTTTATTCAAAGCTGTTGATTCTTGTTTATTCCTACCGTATATTATATTAACTAACACAATATATAGTACATTTAACATTTTATCCATCATGGCTAACAGTTGTTGACCATGCGACGACAATGAGAGAATCGCGATAAACACATCGATGCTTTTAGTTTAGATTAATTGCCAAGCTATCCTTCAATCTTTTATCGAGAAAAACAATACGTGAGGGGAAAAAAATATTAGGGTAAGGTGAGGGTAGACAATCGCCAGGGTATAGGTGTATTGCTTACTTGTAGGTGAGTAGTCGTACGTACAGATTGTCTCACAGGGCGTGGGCGGAAAATGCGCCAAGAAGGAGCGTGGCGATGGGGGGGGGGGGCAATAACAGAACGTCGGTTCATTTTTGCACAGCATTTTGGAAAGCATTTGGGTCACTCACTAACTTAGTTCTTGAGTAGAATGTCCTAGTAGGAGAGGGGCAGAGCGCGGACAAAAAACGAGGAAGAGGCGTGACAGAAAAGTCGTGACAAATAGTTAAATTTGAACTTTGTAAAATCATTTCAGACTTTCTATGGTCATTTCATTTCATGTTGGTTGCATATTGAATTAGTTAGCCGTATCGATTACTTCAAAGAAAGGGTGGAGCGCGGAAATAGTATGCGCTAGAAAGAGGCGTGGCAGTGAGAGTTATGCCAGAGAATTCGACGATTACCGATTTCGGATTCCGAGGAATATTGGTTATCTATCAAAAAATTGTGTAATTTTTTTTTTGGAAGAAGAGACCGAAGGGAAGTGCGCAAAGAATAAGCGTGGCGTGCGAGGGTTGGGGGGAATGCGACAGTTCGTTATTTTTGGCTTTGTGTGAGTCCAGGGTGCATGTTAATCTTATTATGATTGATAGTCGATAGTCTAAAATAGTTTGGATTTTTTATCAAAGGAAGGAGTCGAGCGCGGAGGCGAAGTGCTTCAAAGAATGGCAGTGGGAACCGTGCAGGAAATTTGACAATTCTCATTCGTTTAAAGGCAGCGTCCAGGCAAAATCTAAACTCCTTTAATTAGTACTTACCCTTATTCTGAAATGGGGGCCCCGAGAGGAGGTACCCGTGTTGGTCCGGTCTTCCAATGTTGTCTCTGCATGGAGAAAATCGACTTGGAATCCACGAAAGTGCTATCAAGCCACTCCCACCTTGTCAAGCTCCGCCCTCTCAAGTACTAAAAGTAGTCTGCGTCTTCAGGGTAAGGGCTTCCAGAGATCGGTTTTTTGTGGGCTTTTGCACATTTTGCACATTTTGAACTTCATAACCGTAACCAGGGTCACGAAAACTCGCAAAATGACGAAAACATAAAAAGCGAAATATTGGGTTGAATTAGGTATCGTATAGCGTGCTCCTGGAGAGAATGAAGAGGCTCAAGTCCTCTTTTTTCATAGTAGTCGTTCGTGACTTCTAGCAAATTCCTGATTTTGATTTTTCCGCAGCTTCCAACCTTCCAACCTTCAGAGTGTATTCTTGACATAGAGCATAGATTGGATTAAAGGCAGCGGACAGGCAAAATGGACCCCTGTCAGATTTTGGTAGTTTCGGGTAGTGGACCCCCCAAGTACACCGTAGCCCCAACCCCACATTCCAATTCATGCGCTAAGTCCTGAAAAAAGCGCTTCAAAACTCCACCAGCCCCGCCCACTTGCATTGAGTGGGCGTTATTGGTGGAAGTTTGAAGCGCTTTTTTCAGGACTTAGCGCATCAATTGGAAGTTGGGGTTGGGGCTACGGTGTACTTGGGGGGTCCACTACCCGAGACTACCAAAATCTGACAGGGGTCCATTTTGCCTGTCCACTGCCTTTAAGTGCTGGATTACTAGAGGGTGATATTAATGCCCCAATTTCAGGAAAAAGATCACTTCATCGGAGTTCGCTGCGCTAATGTTCGTCGACGACTTTGGCTTATACTTGAAGGTCATACACAATCACGCTGGTGGAAGGTGAGTTCAGGTAATCGCGGCGCGTTGGTCCTTTTTCAGAAAAAAAATTTGCGGCTGTTGCCTTACATGACCCGTAGGGACCAACAAAAGCTCTAGCTTTTTGTTTTAGGTTAGAACTCTGACTTAGAAAATTTTGCGATCTCTCCAATACTTCAAAAGCAATGGATCACCGTAATCTTGACTTTGCATCTCTCGATCGATTTATCGATTTTCTCGATTGCGTTGAGACTTATTCTTCATATTGCTTTCAATTCCATATGGATATGCATCTTCTCATTTTTTGCCCTCTAGCTCTCCCCCAAACCTTGTACACATTTCACCCTACTTTTTTGCCTTAGAACCAAACACCAACAGAATTTATGGCCAGTCGTGCCGGGACCTGATCATTAACGTAGAGTCCTATGTTTGCCTGTACATCGTAGTAAAACGATTTTTACTTGCAGGTTTTTGAAGTGATATCCACAGCTTTTGTTGTACTTTCCGTCTCAGCTCTAATTCTCGGCTCATTACCCGAGTTTCAAGTTCCACAAAAAACGGAAGATGGGCAGTTGGTAAGTTTTCCAGAGATTTCTACTCAGCGTATTTAAACGCAAAAAAAAGCGTGGGTAAAATCACGAAATTTGTTTGTAACGGTAGGATTTGCAAACTAGCTATCTTCTTTCTCATTTGGAGTGTGCCCGACTCGTGCGGTTTGGGTCCCGCGCGGCCGCTTCGCTTGGATCTTGCGCAGCGTTTGCGAACGTGTAGTCTGATCAAGCGCTCAAAAGCGAGCTTCAGTCGTCAAATAGGCGTGGAGAAATGCTTAGAGAGTAGGTCTGCAAACGCGGTGCAAGTCCAAGCGATGCGGCCGCGCCGGACTCGAGTCGCTGGAGTCGGCTCACTCCAAATGAGACAGAGTGTAGAAACATCACTTTTCTGAATAAGGATGACGGTAGGAGACCAATAGATGCTACCATGGCTTATTTGGGTCCTAACTTGATTTTCTTGCGTGCTTATACTAATCTACATTTTCCACTAATTCTCCTTTCCTACTTCGCGCTATTGCCATACTTAACCTGTGCAACGGTTCAAAACCTGTCTGAACTTAGGAATTGGTGCACTAAACGGCGCGCACACCTCGTACGTGGCTCCAAAGGCCAAGTGTCCGTCGTTTAGCGCGTCAGCTCTGCACTTTGGTCATTTACATCCTCTCACCATACTAACCAATTCTTAGATTGCATGTTCAGGTTTACGCTACAGCTACCTATCCTACATATCCGAATTCCGGTGGAGGCATGACTGTAGAATCTAGAACGGTAGTTAGAGAGGGGGGTGATCAACAGGTAACATTGTTAGAATATTTTCAAATTGAAGAAGAAAAGTCAAACATGATTGAAAAATCTTTTAGGTTGAGATGACAGAACATCCTGTATTTACTTGGGTTGAAAATGTCTGTGTCATCTATTTTTCGTTCGAATATTTGCTTCGATTTCTGGTGTCTCCAAGAAAGTTAGCATTTGCTCGGCAGATGCTCAACGTCATAGATTTGTTGTCAATAGCTCCATTCTACTTCGAAATGCTGCTATGGATAGTGAGTTTTTTTCTAGATGTTTGAAGAGGGGGGGGGGGGAGAAAAGGGACGAAAAATTGCATCGTCTCAGCAGAACTTAGCATGGCAAATCCGGCAAAATCACTGATTTGAAGATGATCCGTTTATAAATCGTCCATGAGTGCAGTGTTAGATATAGGCCGTCCGCGCCGTGCGCGGAGAGCAACGCTGTCGCGCCCATCGGAGACAGTATATGACTGGAAGAGGCGCAGAGAAAACAAGCAGCGAGGGTGCACGAGAAAAGAGGAGTGACGCGCAGTACACACATTGCGCACTCTTCGCTCCCTGCGCGGACGGCTTTTATCAGCAGAATTTATTCAGTAGTTTTTTGGTTCTTAAAAAAAGAATGTCAAGAATGGGCGTGGCTTGAGTGATCCGACCAGTTGCTTCATTTCTTATCCCACTATTTTTTTTTCATCATACTGAAGACGCAAGTGGGATTTACTTCCAAACATGGACTTCCCGACTGAAAAAAATTCAAAAAATGCCGGGAAAGGGCATACTCTGTGTCGGAACACACAATTAAGTCGGATTTTTTTGCCACTATGATTCATTAATGGATAATGATCAAATAAGTAATGCAAATAAATTTTTGTGGATCAGAAGGTTGAAAGATCCAAGTTACTCATCTGCTCCGCCCTGGCCACGCCCATTCTTTGCGAAACCCTCTCAAATATCGAAGCTGTCTGTGATACGAATTTTTGAACACAGGTAAAATTTAAATCTGTGAATAAAAAATTGTTCTTGGTTAGTTTCGCTTAACCTCCAAAACAAAGAATTCAAGAATGGGCGTGGCTTGAGCAAAACCAAACAGACAGCTTTTCATTATTACTGTTACTGAACGAGTGGCAACCAAATTAGAAGCACAGGAAATTCCGTACAAAAAAGGCATAGCTGTGGGCGGAGTAGATAGCCTAAACAATCTATGATGATTTTGCAAACATAAACTTGATTTTTCTCAATTCTACCCCCCCCCCCCTCTTCTGCATGCAAAACTTACGAAAACTTTGTATCTCAAACATTTCCAGTGTGGAATATCCGGTGAGAACGTTCGTAAAGTTCGTTGGGCATTTCTGACTGTTCGACTTCTACGAGTACTGCGAGTTATTCGAATAGCCAAACTTGGGCGATTTTCACCAGGTACGATTTGCTCTTTTTGTTGGAAGCAGTGGAATAGCCTAATATTCTGAAGGTCTGGCAAATTTCGCACTTACCATACGAAAATCAAAGAAACAAATGCAAATGGTTGGAGTGGTTATGATGACTGTGGTAATATTCTTCTCCACACTTATTTACTTCCTTGAACGAGATGAGCCAGACACAAAATTTACCAGCATACCGGCCACATTTTGGTGGTAAGCCTACTCATTTAGCTTACCGCATCTGATATCTAGAAGTTCTCATTCAATTGCAGGTGCGTTGTCACAATGGCTACTGTAGGATACGGTGATCTGGTGCCGGTTACTGTAGCTGGAAAACTTGTTGGCAGCGGTGCTATAGTGTGTGGAGTTATGGTGTTAGCGTTGCCTATAACGATTATGGTAAGCGTTTTTGCAAACGGTGGAGTGCTCTGTATTGTAGTATGTGCAATTGCACACAACATGCACATTGCGCGTAAAATTGGTATCTTCCTTCAGGGATGAATCTCTTACAAAGTATGACCACAGCCTCCGTTTTCCGTCCTTCAATTTATCCTTCCTAGGCATAGAGCTTTCAAAGAAATTTATTAGATATGCTGACCAATGGATCCAGGATTTGATGCGAAATATGCTTGTTGTGTGCAATCGCACATACTATGTGCAAAACTATAAACTGTCTGGTTAATTTGGCATGCTAACGAGCTTGAAGTCATAATTTTTCAGGTCAATAACTTCATGCAAGTAGTAAAACTACGAGAAGAGAAGATTGTGAAGAAATATGCTCAGCAAGAGGGAGATCACGTTTGACCCATATAAGTCATATGGTAGGCAAGCTTAGAAATTTACTTTCTTTTGCATGGGTGATTTAGTAGCCGCATAGACGTGATTGCGGACTTCTGCGCGCCTATAGATAGCGTTCAGAATTGCCCGTGTGCCTGTTTTGTGCCAGCGCCGTACTGGAACCACGTGGACGCGCTCCGTATTGATCGATTGACGTTCCGGCGTGGTAGTGCGGCGATGGAACGGCGCTGGGTGCTGAAACGGCGCAGGTACGAGACTGCCACGGATAACTCTGAACGCAGCCTTTCCGAAGCGCAGAAATCCGCAAAGACGTCCAGTGAAAAACGGACAATTTTAAATCTTAAACAAATTTAGAAGTTTGAATCGCTCGTGCCTTACCATTTCCGTCAACATATGGACACTGGTTTCCCTCACGCAGATACCGGACCAAAATTTCAATAGCTCCTCATAGTTTCTCCCAATTACTTCTCTTAAGGAGTGTTTTTGTTGAATGTTACTTCACTTGAGAGTCTTTGTGAAGTACATATATGGTAGAGTAAATGAAAAGAGTGTTCTCCACGTGTAGCTTTATCGTCATAGATCTCATTCTTCAAGCAGGCTATATGATAACATTATCGATAGTTTAACTATAAACCTCAGTGAACATATGTTTTCATGTTAAATTACAACCATTCGTTGCATTTTATCACAATTACTTTTTCTCCAATTATTGATCGATAAATCTTGCCTATATGATTGAGCAACTTACATGCGAAACAATAACTCCCTACGTAAATTTATACGTTTATAGCTTCAAAGTTTGTGGTCGAGTATGTTCCAACAATGAGAAGTATGTCCGAATAGAAATCTTTGTAAGTGAGCCGATTGATCGGCTAGTTGTGGCGATTCGCTGAGACTGATCGATTTATCGATTGTTTACACTTTACGATGAAAACGAATCTTATCAACCACTAACTAGTCATTCAGTCGAATAAACAGTGTGTCTTTCCCAATCGGGATCAGGCCGGACCGTCGGCTAAATTTGCGCGCTCGCAGCGCTAGTGGTTCGCGCTGCATACGCGCGCTGTCGCAGAGAGAAGAGATTGAGGAGAGAGCACACTAGCTAGCCGTAGACGTGACGCAATACCCTTGCGACACGGGCTCCCGCCATGCCAATTTCGGCCTAGTTGGGATTGGGGCAGACTGTATAGGCTGCCACATGACAAAGACGCAATTTCTTTGTGCGCGAACGACGTAATATGCGCGCAGAGCGCAGAAGACGCAGGATCGACAAGGTGGAAATACGCGCGTCGCGTCCGCGCCCGCTCAACTAATATTGCTTCTGCGTCTATGTCATGCAGTAGCCTTAGGTCTCATCGTAATTTTCTATCAAGCAAGGTCGGAGATGAGCAGCGCTCAAGTACACTCTTTTCGAATCGTGCTGTTCAACTGCAAACTGTTGCAAAGTACATATCAGCCGTCTATTTAATCAAAGAAAGAGAAATTTTCTGACACTGCCATAAACCAAATATAATCTCTAAGCAATGTCCAGGCCTTAGAGTTGTGTTATTCTAAACCTCAGATTTTGTGTTTTTTGCTCTGTGAAGCAAAATTCAGTAGACAATTGGTGCTCGCTTTATCATGAATTTAATTTGTGTGCATATTTGCGCGCGTAGACAGAAGTATGAATATGCAGTACCAGATACGGCTACGCATGCCAAAAACTTGAAAAATTGGCCGAGCAAGACCGGGCACACCAGCAATAATATCTCGAAAGATGACAGACTGTCTGACGACAACCCGCGAAAAAAAAGCCTGGAGATGCAACACTCGTGCGCTCCGCGGCAATTTTTGCGCTCAAGTGTTGTTTACACTGCAGGAAACTGCCATGAAAATGCTGAAACGGAACGTATCTTACTGGAATGCACATTCCAGTAAGATACGTTCCGCTTAAATTTCCTGGCACACAGGACGTTGGAAGCTATTGGTTTGCTGCTAACAACCTAAAATGAACCGAAGAGATGAGCGCCTATTCATATTCGTATAGAGCAGAACAGCGTTCAATCTTAAACTCGTTTAATTCACAGCTTTTCTCATCACAAGGAAAAGCGGGAGAAGCGGAGTAGAAGAAAGAACGGAGAAGTAACGATAAAGAAAAGGGGTTGAGAATCCCCAAAAACGAAACTCATCAGAAAACAAGAGCAAAGTCCCAGTTTATGCAATTCCAGAATTGCCTGCACTCCCTAATTTGTGGCAGATGACTATGGAAACTACGCAGCGGCATTCTGGAACAAATAGAATAGGTCTGAGTTAAAGTAAAGCGAAGAGAAAATGGACGAGCACAAGAACACATGTCTTGTCGCATAAAGCGCTCATTCTTCAACCCCTCTTCGAATTCGAAGTCTGCTGATCAGAAGGGGAAGCGGAGTAGAGGTTAAGTTTAGAATGAGAGGAATCTGGAGGAAAAACCGTTGATAAAGGTCAAAATTCTCCAGCTCTCGCCGTTAGAACGCGTGCGGCGCGGCTGCAGCGCACGAGTCCCGGAACAGTTCCAGCACAGTGCGACAGTTCCGGAACATGGGAATCAGTATGACCCCAACCTCATAATAGAGATGTAGGGCCTGGTTTGAGTCCATATGTTACACAATGAGTGCGGAAGACAGAAAATCTATGCAATAGTCATTCAATCTCTAGTACTTCAGTGAAGGATATGTTATAGGATGTTGATGATGATGTGATGTTATAGGATCTTATCCTATAACACGAAGAGGAAGCGAACCAAAGTCAAAACTTGCTAGTGTTTCTAAAATCATAGTATTGATACAAACCTTGATAGATACAAAGACCCGTAGTAAAGCTCGGGTTCAGGTGAACTGAACTTAACCCATCAGTTGAGCTTAGGTGAGGTGAACTGATGACCGCCCACCTTCCCATGCTATAAGCATGGCGAGCGAACTGATAGTTGACCATCCGTCCGCCTGCTGCCGTCAACTCTTGCACATCGGTTTACAGTTGAACTGAATGTGAACTGATATTAGACGAATGCAAATAGTGTGTAAAAGAGGAGACGCAGAGAGGACTCCCGTAAGTTGCTCCTGAATAACTTACGATACACACCAATTTGCCTAACGCTGCAGACAAAATCGGCGCAAAACTGCACAACCGCGCCCGAAAAGGAGATGATCGATGAACAGCTGATTTTGGCGAGGAAAACAAAAAACAAATTCTTCTTTTTTTTGTAAACTTTACTGACTTTTTTTTCAAATGCTGTCGAAAAGAGAACTCATTTGTTCATTTCATTGAATTCACGCTGCAACCATTCCGTTTTTTTCATGTAATTTTTGTCACAAAATGTGTATTTGTTTTATCCGTGCATTTGCTGGGCGAAATCCTTGATAGCGGTCATCGTTGATGGCGACAGTGGCCGCAGTCAAAGATCGCCCGGCGATGCAGTAAAAATCATGTCAGTAGACGGGGTCGAACCACGGCCGCGCGTGTGAGTCCAATCGCTTTCCCATTTGACCAACCGGCTCGAATGGTCCCTTTTTCAAGAACACACTTGATTTATAATGTCTAGGAAGCGATCCGCATCCAGATCAATAGCTCACCGAATGCTAGACTGAGGGCAATGAAATCAACTGCGGTCCGCTTCAAGGGAGCTGCCCTGATAGGGGGTTTACCACGGGCCAAAGTTACATGGCCCAATTTCACCGATCATGCTTGTGTCCTTCGGGAAAAGGATTCCGCGAGACAAAATAGTATGGAAGCTTTAAACAAAGGTCTTTCAACTATATTTCAATCAACTACATATATTCAATTTGCAGCAAGGTAAATGTTGTAGCATTAGTCTGCACATTGTAACAAGTCAACTGATAGGGCCATATTAATAGCATGATTACTTCTCGATTTTTCCTTATGCCTTATATCAAGTTGGCTCGAAAGTTGATGTATGATACAAACGAAAACCAATGACTTTTTTCGTTATATCTTAATGCATAGTTTGGTATTTGAAAAATAGTAGAATGTTTGCTCTTTATTATAGACTAGTTGGCAAACCCGGCTCCGCCCGGCCCTGTCAATAACATATTTGTAATCAGCATGCTCGATTACCCCCCTGTGCCAACTCCCAGCCCCGTAGCTCAAATTTTGCAAAAAATCGATAAAATCGATATCGATCGATAACGAAAAGTAGCCTATGACACGCTCCCTGCCCCGAAGTATATGTCTGCCAAGTTTGGTCCCGATCGGTTCAGAAATAAAAATTTCTATTCCGCACATACGTATAGACATACATACATACATACATACAGACAGACATTCAGCTTTATATATAAGATGTTCAAGCGTGACATTCTACGAGTTAGCCATCGAGAACTAAGCATACAAAAATGGCTTTAAAATTTAGTTGAGGATGGTGCGATGTCCGAAGGGCCAAAAATGCCCAAAATTGCGCTAAATTTGCTTACACAGCAAAAACATACATTATTTAGATAGGCTCCAATTTTGTATAAAAGTGCAAAAATTCAAATTAAGGAAATTGTCATTATAACTGAAACAAAGGAACACAGTTTGGAACCAGGGATGAAACCCTTGTGTCTATTTAGAACAATGTGACGCTTTTTGCAACGACAAAGAGCGTTATTGAAAAATCATTGCCATACAAAATTGAAGCTACCCAAACGAAGTATGGACCTTTGCTGTGGGAAATTTATGCACATTTTTTGTGCTAGCTAGCAGCCCTCCACGATTTTCTAGCATTAAACTCGAAACCTCAGAATTTAGAGTTGTGGAAAGCTTTGTTCTCGTTGGCTAACTCATGGAATGTTGCGCTTGAACGCATCAGTTACAAAGCCCAAAAATCCTACTATTTTTGGGATTCCGAACTTATAGATGTGGGTTTTGTATTCATAATTTAAAAATATTTGTTTGAATTACACAGTAATAACATTCGCTTTGAACTAATATGTCTATTGCCTTGTTTATGGTATCCTTTCACAGCTTCTCGAGTTTACTGATTTTGAAATCCCTCCCAAAACTCTCGAAAATGTCGATACAGTCTTTTCTTTGTTTCCTTCAGAATGTAGATTCCTGAATGAGAGCACAGAGTGCGTTTTCACTTGAAGAGTTATGGATGTCGGGGCTAATTTCCCAACAGCTGCCCAGATAAGTGGCCATGGGAACTCAGCACAAACACTTTTCGAAAATAATAAAATAGGTGGAAGAGTTAAATGTAAATTTGAGCCATGTCCTTGATGTTAGATCAGCTTACGAAGACCGTAAATTTCAAACAGAAACTTCAAGCATCATTGGAAAAAGACAGGATCTTTCTAGAACCATTTACTTAATCGAAAATGGCTCTAAAAGAAAAGCTGACAGTTGAAATTATGGCAGTCATGCAACCTCACTGAAAACGTTTATGAAATCCCAATGCGAGAAAATATTATCGGTTGCTAGCAAGTGTGTCGTTGGCGTTTTTCAAAAATTTATCTTGATTTGAGATGTGGTAAGAACATAAGGGCTCATGAGGAAAGAAAGTAGTTGCTGAGCGTCATTTTGAAGCGAGTAAGCTTGTTATTGTGAGTAATTGATGTACTTCTGATTGATCTAAGACGACCTATGTAGGAATCTGCTCGAAAAAAGTGTCAGGATGCTGAATTAGGGTCAAATTAAATCTTTTGTCAAAAAGAGAGCATTCAACAATTGCAGGCCACCTAGAGGTTGACACAGTATGAGCAAGTCGATGAGCACGTTAATTTGGCACAAAAAGAAATCGCCTTCTGAAATGGGATGCATATATTCCGAGTAGCCTTCCTTTGTTAGCCATTACCTCCAGCTCAACTTTAATTGAACAGTGATTTTTGCTTCCATAATTCGTGCGACAGTTTCACCAGTTAATCTTCCATATTTTGAGAGTGGTGAAAGAGTGCTTTGTACACACGTAGTCGTGATCAGCTTTACAGAGGAATTCCTTGCCTGTTGAAAATAATTGAATAATGTCGCGGCTCCGCGATGCGAGCGCTCCTAGACGTAGGAGGCCGGGAGCACTGGTTGCTGCCGCGCTACACGGCGACGATAACGGCATTTTCTTACGTTTGCCGCAATCGCCGCTGGACCTCTCCTCGCCTTGGCGCGTTGACAGCAAAAAGGCTATATATAGCGGCGGCTCCTCATTGCAGCGTCTGTTCGCTTTCGTTTTCGATCGATAATCTTCCCTCGTGTTTTATATCGTGCTCGTGCCTGGCAGTTTAGCTCCCGCTTTTGATATCTCTTTCGCTGTAGCGGTTGAGCGGATCGGAAGTTCTACTAATCTGGAATTCGAGCCTGATTTGGGAGTCTTTTTGGACGCGCCATTTTTGGAGCATTTCAGATTTGGGAAATTTACATATTACGAACCTTGGGAGAGGCTGTCGCGCCTGGTATCCGGCGACGCGTGGCGGATCTGTATTGGTGAAGCCTCGGGAGCATATTACTTATTTGTGTTTATAGTCGTGCACATCGGTAGCACGGGATGGGGCAGCTCGTCCCGTGTTGAGTTTATTGTTGTTTAGTATTTTAGTTTTGATTTTAGCAGTTTTTCTTCGTAGTTTAGTTGTAAGTTTTGTGTAGCTTTTATTATCCTTTGATGTCATAAGGATAAAACCTTAGTAATTTACTTTCTGTCTAGATGCGCTAGGGCAAGTTAGTAGGATAGGTTGCGTCGTATGTATCAAGCGGGCGAGCGTGCAGGTGTCTCGGGTAAAATCTAGGTGCTTAGGGCCCACCGAGCCGCCACAAATAATAAAAAATAGGAATTTATCTGTACTTTCCAACTTTTTATTACTCCTTAATCACACTTTACAATCGACAATCTATCTAGGAGATTATGCAAATTTTGCAATGTAGACCTTAATTACACTTTACAATCGACAACCTATCTAGGTGATTTTGCAATTTTTGCAATGTAGAAAATCTGATCCAGATCAGAACGTTTCAAATCGTCTCTTCCAGGTTTATCATAATAGAACTTGCCATCTTCGTCTTCATATTCTTGAATCTCCCACACACCCAAGCATTCACCTTTTACAACACAGCTATCCGCAAAGGCGTACCCATTGAAGAAGTAGTAGCCAGTGGTATTGTAGATTTCTCCAAAAAACAGGCGACGATGGTCTAAATTTAATTCAAGATGTTCCAAGAGTTTAAGACTTTCTTGATTTTGTGTTCTATACTGTTTTTTCAAACGAACACTCTTTTCTTTCGTTATAATGTGCTGCTGAGTCAGTTCAGCGAATCTGGTTCCTTGATCGTGTTAGTGCAACTAAGTGCACATTTAGAAGGACCTCAGTTGGAAATAAACGAGCAGAATTCAGAGTGTAAAATACATATCATGAGCAGTGCTATCATGGACTCACTTGCTTTGTGGAAAACAGGTACAGGCGTACAGGTCTCTTCTGCTTTCTTGGAGAGGGAAAGCCTGAAGAAATACAATTAGGAGAGATCGACAACACTTCGATTGAAACCATTGAGCGTAGAAATAATATATTAAGTTGTAAGGGAAGTTCTGCCAATAGAGGTTCAGCTAGTCTGTTTTATTGAAATCTTCATCACAAATGGCCGCCAAGTAACGATTAGCTCTGGTTTTTTGTACTGCCTACTTGAGAGTACTGAATATATTTCGAAACAGATGGAGAGTCTGGTTTTTTGAACAAAATCAATGAACTGATTCTTGTTCGTAAATAGGCTCTATGGGCAAATAAATAATCGAATGTCGGTTCGTTTGCCCAATACGAAGGTATAAGACATTTTCAATCAGATTTTTGCAAGTTCTGCGCGTTAGTGTTCTGAAAAATGCTCCTTTTCGCAATTTTGAGCGCAACGGCTGCTTCCCTTTTTGAATATTTTTCTCTATTCTACGCTATCTTGGAGCCGAAAAGCTTTGATAACTGGCAACATTGCGCACAGAGAACACCCAACCTAGCATTCGGTATTCATTTTGGTAATTATAAGAAGAGTTGGCAGAACTTTTTTTTTCACGACTGAATAAAAAGTAATCAGATCTCTGCGCCCACAGAGGGCAAGTAGTTGATGGCTTTCCACCTTACCTGGGCCCTACAGTAGTCCACTTGGAAGAAGTTCTGGAAGTATTACTAAAAAAGAAGCGGTATCTCTCTCTTTCAAAAGGTACGATAACAGTTTTATCTGGTGCTGCGAGGTCTTTGCATGTAAAATCTCTATCATCTTCTTGACGTGGTGGTATCCTTTGGAAGGCTACGTCGCTTGTGGATGTTTCTGTCATACATGACGAGTCAGTTTCATCACGTTTGAGTTCATATCCTTTTATTGGGCCAACTTTCCCTTCTCTGTATAGCCTACAGAAACCATCAGTCTAAAATAAACTTCTTATCAATTGTTTCACCCTGCACATGCTGCGAACCTCATTGTATTCCACAACTTTGCACTCGCTTTCGTCGTAGCAAGCTCTCAGGCACTGAGACTGTTTTTCCAGATAAAGGAAGTAGATGGAATTTCCATGTTTAGCTTCAGGATCAAATCGAAAGACACCAGTGTTTGAAGTCTAAAGCTTAGTACTAGGAAATGCAATTTCTATAAAGATTTGATGCTTACCGATTTTGCTAAGAGCAAAAGAATGGAAACTTCGGTTATAGGCGACACCATGACAATGACTGAGGTTCAATTTCAAGAATGTACGGCTTAGTGCGAAGACGCTGGACACACTAACAAAGGTTTTCGTTTTTTCACCGCCCTTACTATTAAACAGATTCGAGAACGCCTCTTAGCAACCAGACAAGCAAAGTCTTATTTGATTTTAAACAAAGAATAAGCTCTGTGAAGCATTAGCGACATGGCAACTGTCCCATTACAGTGAAAAATCACGCTTCAGCCATTTCAAAAATTTTGTAGGTTTTGCGCATTAAAAAAGTCTGTTGTTCGCTAGAGAATACAACGCGTTTCACGACGGTTTTTGCTAGATTTCGACCATCGCAGAAGATAATTTTTATTCTATGATGCTTCGAAAAATGCAAAAAAGAATATCGCAGGACTTTGAATTGAATGATCATACTCTGGTATGTATCGCGAATCTTTGCATAACAGAGATGACAAAAGTTGCCCATTTGATGGAAAAGTGCTTATTTAGCAGTTATTATTCGATTATACTGCTAAATATAGATACATGTTCTTACATGTTCGCATTCTTTCGCGCGCAGCAAACAGGACTCGGCAGACTTGGAACGGAAATTCTTGAGACAAAGTTCAACTTTTCAAGGTATTCTTATGAAAATCCTTCTAACACATTTTTTAAAAGAAAGTATTAAATAAAGGAGTATCTGGCCGGAAAGCCTGCTATGTTTGGGAGAAGACAAGTTCTGCATATGATTTGCAACACATCCTCCAATGATCGAAAAGGCCAGTCGCGCAGCCGTGCTAGTGGACGTAGACATTGCAAAGTTTTGAGAAAAGAATGATACGGGAAATTTGCTTTCAAGTTAGTAACGCACCTGAAAACCTCAACTATTTCAAAAAACGGAGCTACAGTACGGTGTAAAGAATAGGCCATGATTTATGTTGAATTCTTCTACCTATGCTGTCTTGCATGTGATTATCTCGATTTTGTTGAGATTTTTTTTACTTTTAGATTGCTGCGCAAGTCTTGTTATACTGCGAATCTTTACCTTTACATTTTTAAGGCAGTGTTCTCACCAGAGTTGAGGTCGCGCGGATCTTCACATTCTATTATAGGGGCCTCTAATTAGGCCATCGCAACAAGTCCCACCTTTGACCCCCTCCACGCTGAGAAAAATTCGCTCATAGTGGTACGCAGAGAGCGAGTTGGTACGCGCGGACGACTCCTTACGCGTTTGAACATGTCCCTCCACCTGGCATCCACCTCCCCTCTGTTGCTGCCACTGTTGCTGAAGCTGAAGTTGGAAGGTACAACTCGTCCACGTTGCTCCCGCGGGGCCTCCAGAAAACGGGGTTTTTGGGAACTTCGTGCGAGTTCAAGCCCATACAGTGCTAGATAAGGTCCGACAGATTTGTAAAATGCAAAAATCTCGGCAACTAAGTTTTGGTGAGACACTGCCTTTAAACCTTTTTGATAAGGGCCAGCCATTCAATAGAGGCAAAGCAAGTTCTACAAGAACACATAAAAACATTTACGCGATTTTGATGCACTTCAAGTTTGAAGCCTGAATGCATAAAGTTTTGACTGCCCAAAATATGAGAAAAATTCATATTTTGGTTCAAAGATTTTCTACAGATTTTCCACAGCGCAAGCGAAACGCTAAATATCGGAAAATTACAACACCGGTGCTGTATTTTTTTGTCTGATAGTAAATGAGAAAAAGATTTCTATGCTTTCTCAGAAACGAAGCTTTTTTCGCACAAGCAATTGTATACTACAAACCTCAGAAGTACAATCGAATTTCGACCTCACTGCAAGTGTTGGTTTTCGAGACTTTTCGATCTTTGCTTTCCTCAAAAAATGTTTCGTGGCCAAATCAACATTTCAAAGACTAGAGCTTGTACGGGGCCAAAAATTACGGTTTTACTCTCAAGGCTTGTAGTATAGAATCACTTATGTGGGATCACTTATGTGGGAACAGCAAGGCATAGCTTTGGCAAAAATGTAGAGTTTCTTTTTCTCAATTTACAGCTGACGAAAAAGGTACAGCAACTGTAAGTGGTTGTATAAAGTGTTTATGCTCGCATCCTCAGCTCATTCAGTACTCTTCAAAGCACAAAAGAAGCAGCAACGGACTGCGTCACAGACAAAACTGAACAAATCAACCCAATCATGACACAGTACCTGGGGTACTACTAAATAAGGAAAAAGCACACCACTAGAATTATGTGTTTCAAACCGCATTTCTTTCGATGTATGTCAGTATTGACAAATTTGGACTCAAAAACTCATGGCTTTATAGAAAGTTATTCAGTAAGTAAGTGGAACAGATTTTGTATCAGCGTCAAAAAGCCTTTTTGTTGGTCTATATTATAATCATCGTAGTTTGCCAATACGTATTGAAACTTCCTCTAAATTGAGTTTCAGAAAATGAATTGCGAAACGAAAGTATGGACCCAAATCAAGGTGTGGGAGTTTAATTTTTTCAGTGGATCTATGGCGTCAATTCTTAACAAACATTTGTGACTGTATTTAGGTTCCAAAGTAAATTTATTTGTATTGAACAAATCAGATTATGCAGCGTTAAAGCATCGAACTCAGGATTTATCTTCATGAAAGAACAAACTCTTCGAAGCAGACTAAGATTTATTGGCACTCAGTGTTGTCAAAAGTGTCAATCACGACAATGAGATCCACGTAAATACTCTAATGCTTATTCTCATTTAACATGACGATTATTGATTAGCTGCGAGAACCTATATAAGGAAGTGATTCTAGCGAGGACAACAATGCTCAAACGATTGATGCTTACATAATTTCTGAGTTTAAAAAATCTCGAAAATTTTCATTCTAAAAAACATCACTTGCGCTAATTCAATTACCTTGTTATATTGATAACAGTGATACCTCCGCGCAACGTAGATTTTGGGACGGGTCAGTTGGTTCATCTGGGGCCGATGACGAAACTCAATTTTTGTTCCGTCTGTCCAAAGCCAATTCGCGTTATTCAAATAATCAGCACGCCTCAAGAAAACGATTTAAACCCAGAGTGTTGGTGTCCATGAAAGACCAAGGCGAAATGGATTCACCGGCTACAAAGTGATTCTCATCAGCACCGTGGATTGAGGTCAAATGTGCTCTAAAGTTTCTACATTAGCTCTCGCGTTGTGGGAGTCTGTAATAGTCACCTATGACTAAACATTAGACCGTCATTTTGATCACAGGTTTGTGCCGCGCGTATCTCCTTCATTTTGACCTCACATAAGTAACGGGCTCATTTCAAGCTGCATCTTCATCAAAGGTCGCTCAAAACACAATTTTTATGGAGCACCTTTTTGAGTGAGAAAAGCTTTCGTGTGCACACCGTCTGTATCATCGGGATGACGAGTACTAGGTGGGCTAGGTTGCAACGCGGCCCCCTCACCGCTGTGCTTACCAGACTAATTACTGCGCGCCCCTGATTGGTCGGCGCTTCCGCGACGCTACGTAGGCGCTTAGAATTGGATGAGTTACGCAAAAGGTTTTACATAAAATGTAGAACCCAAGATATGTGCTGACTACATGTTGAAAGCGTTTACACATTCATATTTCACTGTTCGACTTCTACAAGTGCTATACCATTCGAGTAGCCAAACTTGGGCGTTTGCCAAGTTCGGCTCACCTTTTGCATTTCCTTATTGAAACACTACAACGAATATTGACATCTTCCAAGTGTGGGTTTCGCACTTAACCATGCGAAAGTTAAAGAAACAAATGTAAATGGTTGGATAGTTATGATATCGATAATGGTATCGATAATCTTGTCTATATTAATTTACTTCTTGAACGAGATGAACCACAAACGGAATTTGTAGCCATTTTCGATATCAACTATTAGCTAGGAATTTCAAACATTTACTTTGGAGTATAGAAGAGTTCTTGTCGACTTCGCGTTCATGTACAAACTTACAACAAATGAACTGGATCTCAATTCATACGATATCTTGAGGCGTATACAGGGCGTCCCAAAATGTGCCTACTGCTTGATTGTTAATAACTCGCTTGTCATGTCACTGAGTCTTTCGAAAAGCTTTAGGTTCCATTTTGTAAAGCTGTTAACTTAGATTTACAGTATGGATTAAGTTACCAGTCTTTCTTCATTACTGTAAGAATGCGGTAGGAGGTTCAAAGAGATTTTTCCATCATTTAAGCTCATATTTCAGCTTTGAAAATGACTAAAAAAGCTGGAAACTCTTTCACTAGGTTAATCAGGGTCATTGATTTCGAATACTCGCACTTCACCGTAATGCTTTTATCATAAGTGGCAGATATAACGTAACGGCGGATTTCTGATACCCGTCGAAAATTTGATTAGGCTATACAAAAAAGCTCTGCGAACACACAAAAAGTTATGTAATGGAATTAGTATGCATGAAAATTCTGTTACGCAAATCTTTTCTTTTCAGTTTTTTCGAACGGTCTATCTTACAGTAGCGCCATAAGCTGTGAGTCCCTATCTTAAAATTATACAATAATGAAGGAAGACTGGTGATTCGCTTCTACTGTAAATCTAAGTTGAAGCCAGCTCTACAAAATGATACCTAATCCTTCCTGAAAAATTTCTTGACAAGAGAGTTACTAACAATCAAACAGTAAGCACATTTTTTGAGACACCCTTTATATCGTGCAAACTATACGAGACGTCACAAGATTTTCATCTAAAAACCCAGTTCTTGCATTATGTATGTACAAAATGGATGGATGGATCGACGTCGGACAGATGGTGTATCACACACCGTTCGGAAGTGGCCCACCTTAAGGTGTCCTGCAAAGCAAAATTCAAGGAAAGCAATTAAAAGGAATTTTCCTTAATCCGTTCGTTGTAAATTCTAAGTAGTTTAGTTCATTTTCTAGTACAGTCAAACCTGCCCGTATGATCTATTCTTCCAAACCGAAAGAAATTTGTTGTGGTCTTTTCCTGTCTCAAATTTTGCTCGAATTCTTGATTTTTTCGAATCAATCTGATGCAACCGAAGTGATGACGTAAGGTTTT